ACCAGCAGCCAGAACTACACGACCAGCAACCGGTACAAGATACCAGCTCGGCAGGAGTACAACACCATCAACCCATAATGCATCACCACGAGTCACCACTGGACCAAGAGCCTTCCCAAGATGCACCGCAAGTGGCTTTACAACCTTTGGTCGACCAACAAGACCAGCAACAAGCGAATGTCCCTCAGCAAATTATCATCCAACCGCAAACGATGATCGTCGCTCCAGCCCAGGGCTCCCCACCGCGTGTCTCGGTCCATTATCTTACGTCTAACACCACGCCTCAGCCCCGGGCGTCGTATTCGCCCGCGTTACAACAGAACGTGGCCGGCGTCACCCAAAGCGACACCGCATTACTTCATGAAGTCTTGAATGAACTCGCTACAAGATCGCTTTTCAATTCTTAAACTGGCAACTTGTTCTACTTTTAGTTAATGACTAAACGTCATTTTCATATTAAAGACAGTCTATAATTTTGGCTCCGTATATATGCAAAGGTGGGCACTTGGTAGGGGAGGCAGCATTCCCCCAATAATTCTTCACAAGTTTCCTTTCTCGTGTGTACGCGGTCAACTACACAAGTAAAAATGCACAAGTAGTAACAAACCTGCAGCAGACTTATAGCAATGCTGTTCCAACAACTTGTCAACAGGATGTGTTCGCACTGCTTGTTCCCAGCTTGTTGACAAGTTGTCAATGGCTTGTTGTAACTTGCTACAAGGTTATTGAGTTCAACCAGAGCGTTTATTCAATAACCTTGTAGCAAGTTGTCAACATGCCGTTGACAACTTGTCAACAAGCTGGGAACAAGCAGTGCGAACACATCCTGTTGACAAGTTGTTGGAACAGCATTGCTACATCAACAGACTAGACTTGTTACAAGTTGTTCTAACAACTTGCAATCGTCCTGCAATTCAACAATTTGTCAACAAGTTGTGAGTGACAAGCTTGTAGCAACTTGATAAAATAACAGCATTTTGTTATCGTCCTGCTATTCAACAATTTGTCAACAAGTTGTGAGTGACAAGCTTGTAGCAACTTGATAAAATAACAGCATTTTGTTATCGTCCTGCTATTCAACAATTTGTCAACAAGTTGTGAGTGACAACCTTGTAGCAACTTGATAAAATAACAGCATGGTTACAACTTGTTGACAAGCTTGCTACGAGCCTGTTGCGAACACATCTTGTTGACAAGTTGGGAGATTTTCACGTGTGTAGTTTTAATATACGCACGTAAAAACGCAGAAGTTTGTTACAAGTCTGTTCACAAGCTGTTAACAAGATGTATTCGCACTGCTTGTCACAAGTTGTCAACAGGTTTGGAACAACTTTTTGACAACTTGTAACAACCTTGTCGAAATTATCAGACTTGTTGCAAGGTTGTTCTGACAGGTCTGTGACATGCTTGATGTAACAAGATTGTTACAACCTTGTGTTGACAACCTTGTAACATCCTTGTTATATCATGACTGGAACAAACTTGTTAGCACAATCTTGTAACAAGGCTGATAATGCCATCAAGCTTGTTACAAGTTGTTAACAGCTTGTTTCAAACTTGTTACAACAAACTGGGAACAAGCAGTGCGAACACAACTTGTCGACAGCTTGTGAACAGACTTGTAACAACTTGTTTGCAGACTTGTTACAACTTGTGCGTTTTTACGTGTGTAGTAACAAACCTGCAGCAGACTTGTAGCAATGCTGTTCCAACAACTTGTCAACAGGATGTGTTCGCACTGCTTGTTCTCCCAGCTTGTTGACAAGTTGTCAACGGCATGTTGACAACTTACTACAAGCTTGTTGAGCTCAACAGACTTGGTACAAGTTGTTCCAACAACTTGCAATG